ATCCTCTCGATAAGGCTTGAAAATCTCAACTAATAATCTTAAATAAAGTGAAAAGCAGCTTCTCAGTTAGCAGATAAAGCATGACAATCATGAGTCTGTTGCTGCTGCAGTTGCTGTAGACTACACCTACTGTATAGGGGGTATAAAACTCTCATCTGCAGTTTGTTGTCCATCCAGAACCCAATTATTCAAATCGGGAAAAAAGTGCCGTTGTATTTCACCCGAGGGCTTGTGTAGCCACATATTTTCAATCATCTCTTTTTTTAATCAGCTGTTGTGCTAATCTCACATTAGCCACACATTTGAAAGCTATAGGCCAAATGATGTGAATGCATTCATCCAGGACTTCATGTCATAGGTGAAATGATAACATATATGAGTTTAAGTGCATTCAAGATTGTTCTTATTCATATGACTTCAGTAAGTACTTAACAGGTATTTATTTGTCTACTTTGGTGTTCATGTGTGGGTCATCCCAACAGTAGTAAAAAAAAACAGCTGAACGAAAAAACGACATTAATTACACAAAGTTTGTAGTAGTACTAAAGTAATTAACGAAGTGCAGGGTGGATTCTTTAGGTGTTTTCTTACATGCACAACTCCAGAAGATTTCCAAAAATGCTTGTGGTGAGCAAACTGAAGCAAACTGCAAAAAATGTTACCCTGACTTTACTCACTGCCAACCCCGAGTCAAATTTAGGATTGAGGCCAGGTTGACTCAGTGTGTCACGCAACAATCCAGGAAATAACATAAGAACATTCCTGATGAGTGAGCTGGCATGGGTGTTTATGTCACGGGACATGTTGGCAACCGGTGCGATCTTCATGCATGCAATAAAGCTGCTTCATACTCCTCTCCCGTCACCAAAATGTAGGTCCAGCTCAGTCCTTGATAGTGTACCTTCATGTCACATTGATATTGATAAAAAGGCAAAAAATGTCATCCCTGCGTTGAAATCTTTTGCTTGGTCCGCCATTATGACACCACCATTTTTACGTCATATCCTGCCTCCTGAGACCCCCCCCCCTTTCTGTCCTACAGGGAAAGTCTCCCGCTGTGAGGGTGTGTGCCATTTATACATTTGCATGCCTGAAAACAATGCAGAAATGGCGAATAAGGCAACTGATTTGGACACAGTGATGACAGTTTCTGTGTTTACATCAATGCTACTTGTAGTACTGCTGGTGAACATAGAACATAATGAAGCAGTGTCATTACACGCGCAGAGATCACAATGGCCACACGCCAGTCGTGTGATGTATATGACATCACTCCTGCTTGCTTGCAGTGAATTTTACAGAGTTCTTCCTGCAGGATTCTCACATCGGATGACCCAGACTCCTCCAAGATTAAATGATTTTGGGGATTATTCAGGAGTTTTGTGCATGTGTGAAAACACCAGAACAACTTAAAAAACTTGACATTTTTAATAAATATAACCTGGAATTGTATTCATGCATATGTCCCAAATACAGAAGGAGGTAATATGCATCAAATGAGCTTCACAAAGTCCCTCATTGTGGCTTGCTAACAGTCTCACCGCAGTAATGGCTGTGCTGTTACAGAACTGCTCTGGTCCTGTCCTCACTGAGAACTTAAGAGGGAGTTGATGGAGGATGACCGCGGACAGAGAGAGAACATGCCTCTGCGCCTAGATAAAAATCAACTCCTCTCCTGTGAGCGCTGAAAACACTGAAACTCTACACTTCCCACGACACAAGAATCACTTCACACAAAACCTCAGTTACCCAACAAGTTGTTACACGTAAAAAACCGACATTTCCCCCCCCCAGGGGATTGGCAATGCAAATCCCTTCTGTTGTTCTCCCTTTCTTCTCTTCTTTTCTTTTGTTTCCTCTGTCTCTCTCTCAGTTTTTTTTTTTCTTCTTCTTCTTCCCCCTCCCAACAGGAGCTTGTTGGATTTATATCGTCCTTGTCGCTCTCAAACTCTTGCCTGAGGCAGAATAGCAAAGAGAGAGCACAATAGACAGAGAGAGAGAGAGAGAGAGAGAGAGAGAGAGAGAAAGAGAGTGCCAGGAGCCGGTCTCAGCAGTTGAGAGCAACAGGATAAAGTGTTAGACATCTAAACAGGTTCACATGGTGATAAACAAATAAAGACGTCCCATTGTGAGCACTGAGACTGACAGCTGTAATGGCAGAAGGTTCCCAGCAGCAACATAGCAAAGACAGAAAACCGTAACGCGTCTGTCAGCAGGCACAAACTAAAACAATCCACCATGGAATAACAACAAAAAAAGACACACATAATAATGCATCGCACACCCAAACCTTTGCATATTTCCAAAGCCGGATCCATCTGACCCCATCTGACTCTAATAATGTTCACAATCACAATCAGTAATTCTTTTAATAAGAACTGTCCTCTGTCTTTCCACAAGTGAAAGTGTTTATAGTATATGTTATTTTTACTAATTATACTACTGTTTTGGAGCTGTTGAAACAAAGAAATTTCCCATAATGGGAGCTCAATAAAGTTTATCTTTATCTGTATCTCTTTTTCTCCCTGAATAAGAAACTGTTCTCACAGATTGTTCAGTTGTCCGCAGCGTTTTTGTCACAGAGCTCGCACAGTAAGTTTCCAACCTGCTAATGCAGTCCTGTTAAGACAAGTGTGAACAGATGCATAAACAAATGTTTGGGGAAATGTTTCACAGCTAGCAGTATTTACTCAGGGATGATAAAACAATCCAGCGATCCGTGCCAGATAGTGGCTGCCTGCCCACAGGGCCTGGATCGAGCCCATCGCAACGAGAGCCTCCAGCAAAGACTGAAACATCACTTAAAGAAACCAAATCTTTTTCTAAAATCAGCCTGTGACTTATCTGGATTCTGCTAACCTGCATCTTCTCCTTTTATTGAAAAATCAGAGAAGGTTGGTGCTTTGATCCAGCCAGCCTTAGAAAAGGAGGAATAATGTTTTCCGCTGGTTATGAAAAATACTAAAATTCATATTGATGCCTCTATCTCTATATGACACTAATGCCAGCATGAAATCAGACAATTTCTATATGTCTGAAAGCGCTGAGAGGGGTAGGTGTCAGCTCACAGCAGAAACAGCAATGTTTTTACCCACTGCAAAGATTCAAAGTGAGTGATACATTTGACTTTCTAGTCATACAAAAACCTTAACCAGCAACGAGATAAGAATTACCTATTATAAGCCGGTGGTCGGCCAACTCGACACTCACCTAAGTTCGTGGCAGCGGACAATTTTTATCATTTGGTTTTGATCTGATGAATCATTTACTGACCATCTAAATTTCCAAGAGCTAAAATTCATGTCTTCAAATTGCTGCTTTTGTTAAAAACAGTTCAAACTTTTCTTTAACAAAATGACAAAAAGCAGCAAATATTAGGATTTAAAAAAAAAAAAAAAAAAACTTGATTCAAAGATGAACCAAACATTCTGCGATTGAGTTCCTTTAAAGCTTCTGCGAACAGTTTTTAAACGATTATAAAACAGACTGAAATTAAAAACGATGCCTCCTGACAACCTGCGAGAGAAAACACGACCATCATGAACAAGACTGACAACATCTATAAAGTTATTTTTAAAGCTTGTAACTTCTGCCGCGGGGCATAGGTGCCTGACAAGATGATTTACAGCGCTCTGAAAAAAACAAGCTTTTCTTTTGCACTTTCAACAGCACGTGAGTGTCAAATACACTCTTAAAAGAAAGCAGGATATGCTGTGAGAAAACCCTGCGTTCACATATACAGGACAAGATCAGTGGAAGAGATAAGAGGTGCCACAGTGGGTCGACACAAAAAAGTTCTGCAAAGAAGCTTTAAATCAGTAATTGTTGCAGCTCTACTAGAAGGACACACATGTAGTAAACTGTGTAAAAATCCCATCTAACAGCACACAGCGAGCATTTATCCCTCCATCTTTCCTGCGGTACTGACCTGTTAGGGAGTGGACTTGTGGAGATCCAGCAGCGATCCCACACTGCAACGAAGCTGCTGACACAAGTCATAGTGACCGGCTCTCCCTCCACATGTAACACCCATCTTCTCTACTCCTCTTTTACCACCGACCAGCCAATCCCTCCCCACCCGCTTCTCCTGCCCCTGTCTCTCTCTAGAGAGAGGGGGGGGGGGGAGTACAAAGAGCCTCTTCAGATCCCACCGAACAAGGGGCTTCGTTTGCATAATTGGCACCCTGTTGCAGGTAAACCGTCGCTGCAGAGCTACCGTGTGTGATAACCATCAAACATAAACTAATAACAGGATTGCAGTTTGATAAGACCTGAAAACTTTAATTATGATTCCCTGGATGTACAGACTGAAAGTCAGGGACAGCGAGGTTGGAGATGCGACAGCACCCGAGGTGTTATGACTGTGGTATTAAAATAAAGCATCATGGAAACAACACTACGAGATAAGACTTCACAGATGATGCTGTTTGATCATATCTCGTAAACTAGTAAAAGGAGTGTCACATTTCCATCCAGTAAAAGTTACAATTTGCTTGTGACTTCTCCAGTAATATGCTAAATACTGGTGCTAATGCCATATCTGGTGTCATTTTACACATCAGAAAAAGAAAAGAAAAAGGCTGTCATACAAAACATTTTGAGGTATATGATTAAGAATATTGGGATTGTTTTGAATCGAAGAATAAATATAAACTAACTTTCCTTTCACATGATTAATTTTCAATATTCCTTTTTGTTTTTTTTGCACGACTTGGATGCGCCTGATTGGGCGGCTTCTATTGCAATACACTGAAAGAGTAAATCAGGAAAACTACACTCATATTAAACTGCAGGATATGCTTCAGTTCCGGCGATATGACATGAAAGACATCCTGTTTTTAATCGGTTCTTTATTGATTATGTTGATGTTGTGTTTGAAATGACAGATATTTGCACAAGCCAGTAAAAAAGGCACATTTCTGCTTTTGCATGCAAAAATCTGCCAAAGTTGACACATCTGTCACAGAAATGTTACAGTTGCACAATGAATTCTCACTTACCAGAAAGTCTGTGTTCTTAAGCCACCTGGGATTTCGGATCTCAGCCTTCAGGGGTCAGGCCGCCCCTCTCCTCTCCTGATGGGGAGGAAAAAGAGTCCGAAACTTCACCTTCAGCGCTGAGTTCCTGATGTCCGAGTATTGTGGGTCGATTTCTGTTGAAAGAGAACCGCATCGTCAAAACCTTGTGTGAGTTGACTGAGAGAGCCCAGAAGAAAGGAAGACGCCACGTTTTAGATACACTTACGGTGTAGAGTCAGAGTCAGATTCTAGCACAGTGGCTCCCAACCTTTTAACCTTGGAGCCCCCCCCCCCCCCCCCCAGCACCCACACAAAAAATAGCGACACATTGCTTTCATTTTTTAATTTTTTTTTTAAATACTTTTCATTGATAGCATCCTATCAAAATATGCATACACACTTGTTTTTCCAAAAAGACCTAGTATGATTTAACTTCTCATAAAATCTCATATGGACAACCTTGCACGCTGCCTGCCCTGAGATCTCAGATGCCCCACTGGACCCCCTGGTTGGGATTCAATGCTCTACAGTTGACACTCTAAAAGGCCCTTCATACATTTTCTAACCACCTGATTATGCTTTGATTCAGGAAAATGAGCAAAGTTAACATATAGAGACTTCAAAGAGGGTTTGATCACAGCTTAAAGCTCAACTTTACAGACTGCAGCAAACTCAGAGCGGTGCACGACAAACAGCGAAGTCAAAATGTTCCAGTTCACTTCACTGTCTTATTCTTTGCTGACAAAGAGCCTCTACTGCCAGATTAATACAGAGATTTGGACTCGGCTGTCACCCCTTCTCATACTGTGCTTTTAAAATGTTTCCATCAGTTTACTTTGCTTTCATTCAACCACCACCTGACTGACTTTTAGAGAAATTCAAAACAGTCAAACTTCAAGGCCTTCCAAAAAAACACTTATCCTAAGATAACACTGGCAAGAGAACTCTCAAAGATTTTGGTGTGCATGTTTTGGGGCATTGAATGACATATTTCTATTGGAGAGGTCGAAAGACACATTCATACACACACACACACACGCACATTTTTCAAACAATGCTTCCTTGCGCTGCCTCATTAGAGGATGGGCTCTCAGGACTGAAGACACAAAAGCCTGTGCCCTCTTCTCCTTTCCTTCCTCTCTTTCTCTTTTCTCTTGGCCTTTTGATGTCAAGGGTACTGAGCCATAAAAAGTGCATAGTCTGAAGAATAGGCTCATCAGGAGTACACACTCAGTTTTCTAATTTTTTCCTCTTTTTTTTTTTTATCTTGCTGAGTGTGTGTGTGTGTCTGAGAAGCGAGTACAGAGAGCTACAGCCCCTGATAAGGTGCTGTTGTTCTGTGGTCGCCGGTCACCTCATCACACAAAGAGCAGAGCTGGGAACTCCAGCACTGCGATGGAGCGATAGAGACATCACAAAGACGACATTTTACTCCCCTGTTCCTCTTGGAGTCCAGGGGCTGCCCCACACAGGCCCACCCAGTGTACACACAGACATTCTCACACTTTTATTCACTGTCTGCAGCAAATGAACTGACACCAATGTGTATCATTTGTGTTGTATGATCAAAGTTTGGAATAAACAAATCAAATCAAATCAAAAATCCAAGTGCCAGTTTTTAAAGAAAAGATGGTTTCAGTTTGGGGAACGGCAGCTGGAGTAAATTCAGCCAGATATAGAAATATATATTTCAAATTCATACATCAGGGGTTGTTTTAAATCAGAGGTATCTGTTTGGGATGAATAAAAGTGTTTCTATCAATCATCACACACCCAACAGCTCAGTGTTAAAGGAAGAATGAGCGACATTTCACACATAAATACAGCAGAAATCAAGTATATTCTCTGTAAATGTCTCCCTGAGTCATGACTGTCTACAATGAGTCAGAAGCCTGAGTCCCGCCAGCCGTACTGTTGTTGGAGCTGTGTTTACAACATGTTTACTTGGACGAGACGGCCTTGCATTTACAGTTGTTTTAAAGTCGTCAAGGACTAGAGGAAAGAAGAAAAAACCAAACCAAGTATGAAAAAAAAAAAAGCCTGATTCTCCGCCCATTCGGGTCGCAGAGGCAGCAGGCAAAGTAAGTAAACCTTCCCTCTCCCCATCAACGTTTTCCAGCACCATGGGGGATCCCATGATCCCACTATACCTAGCCGGACGGGATTTATAATCCCTCGAGCGAACTCTGGGTTTACCCCGGGCTCTCCTCCAAGTTGGGTTTGCTCGGAAAAACCTCCAAAGGGAGGCGTCCAGGAGGCATCCTAATCAGAAGCCCAAACCACCTCAACTGAATCTTTTCAATGCGAAGGAGTAGCAAGCTCCAAGCTCCCCCCTAATATCTCAAGATTAAGATCATGTTTGTTTCTGCTGACTGAAATTAAAGTTGCTGCCATGTTTTTTATGTTCATAAAGCTGAAAACCATTTTATTTAACTGTGAGACATTTTTTTTTAAAAGACACATTGGATTTCGCTAATAACCTTAAAAACAGTAATTTCATTTTCTTCAAAATTATACGGAAATTATTTGGAGTGCAGTCCTGTCCAACGGAGCAGTCTTAAGATTTTGACGTACTTGTCTAACGTAAATGGCAAAACAGTTTTTAAAGGTTTTACAATGACAGAAATATCACTTTGAAGAAAAACACAAGGACTTTTTTAAGTGGTGTCAGAGAGATTGTGAGGAGTGTGTTCAGTAATCGTCCTAGTCAACAGGTGTAAGAGCACCGCGCAGAGTTCACAGCCTCTCCAGACAGCAGGAGGACTGTTGCTGCTTTACTGCAGTGCTTTCAGGCTCAGGTTGTTTGTGGTTTGAAGCAGAATCAGTGTTTCAGTGACAAGAAGACAAGAAACAATATGACAGGATGCGTTATCTTGCTGACAAGACATTGCAGCGCTGATGAAGAAAAAACACTTTTCCTAGCTTGAACACAAAAAAGAGATAAAAAGCTAAACAATATCAAAGGCATTGTTAGAATACTTCTAGTACTTATATGCAGGATGAGCCAAATGATCCAACACACTTTCTTCACCGATGAATCATGTTTTTGGTTGCGGACTGTGTTGAAAGCTATTTTGTTCATTCTGTAGATTCAGAAAAAAAATGTCTAGATCCTGACATAACATCAAGTATGAGAGACAAATACATAATATGTGACAGAAGACGCAATAAATTCAGAACAGCTGTGACTTAAGGCACATTCTCTGATCTCAAACATAAATCATGGTGTCATCTGCATATTGATTGATTTCAACATCATGACCTCATCAAGGGTTTGCGTGTTATCGCATAGAAGTTTGTTGGAAGTCAAAAACTAGATGGCTAAACAAGACAGAAAAGGAGGATATATGCCTAAAAGCTGTATTTGTTTGTCTCCTGACCTTAAGAGACGTTAACCAAAGCTGGGCTCAGAGCTCGAGGTTGATAATATAACAAAGACTGAGGTCTTTTACCTACTTTTTGTAAAGTGTCTTAAGATCAAAAATAATTAGGAACTGGCCCTGTACAAATAAAATGTATTGATTAATGGTCTTGCCATGAGGTTTTGGGGGTTTCTAGGCCTTGACATCACCAGATTCTTTTGTTTAAGACAAACATCAAGTAAGAGAGACAAATAGATAATATGAGACCGCAGACAAAATAGATTCAGAACAACTGTGAAGCAGGGCACATTTTCTGATCTCAAACATAGAGCATGGTGTCATCTGCATAGTGATTGATTTCAACATCATGACATTAAAAAGGGTTTGCGTGTTATCTCATAGAAGGTTGTTGGAAGTCAAAAACTAGATGGCTAAACAAGACAGAAAAGGAGGATAAATACCAAAAAGCTGTTTTTGTTTGTCTCCATCTGTGACCTTAAGAGACATTAACCAAAGCCGGGCTCAGAGCTCGATGTTCAGCTGACACTGGTCTATGGTATATGAGCCATTAGGACTTGTTTTGGACAGTAAAGTGAAAGATGAATTTTTTCACATTAATGTCTTATGTAGGGGAAAGTCAACAAGAACAGCACTAAAATACCAATAGGATGATAAAATGTTTAAATATGAATATGGTAAGAACGTTACAAAGTCTAATATAAGGACAGAGCGATCAGGGACCGGAGTCCTTTGAAACTGTAGTAATGTCATTAAATTCAAATTCAGCGTGATGTCAGTGATCCAACAGCAGAAATGTGATACAACAGAAAGAGAACAGAAATCTATTCATTAAACACTCTCCTCATCTTCACATGCTGCTTTCTCAGCCACTGCTTATTGAGAATTACATTTTTAACCCCATTTTTTTAAACAATTTAATATATGTGCACACTGTTTTTACTCTAAAGGTTATCATGTGTTCTCAAACTTAGATTGAAAAATATATAATCATTGGTAAGATATAATACTTTCTTTTCATAGATCAAGCTACTTGAAATATACAAAAAATGTAATTTATTTTCCTCCACATTGACTGTATATATTTTAACAATGCTTGTTTATTTGCATACGTAATGACCATGCAGTGTCCTCCTATCAAGTATATAACCTGCCGCTAATACATCCACCCTTTTTACTTCTTTATATCCTGAAAGACTTCTTAGTTAAATAAACGTCTGTTGAGTATTATAAAAAGTTGGAGAGACTTTGACGATGTCTGAAATGGATCAACTCAATATCCACTGGTGCCTTTATATGTTCTTTATCTGATCTATATATTACATGTTAACTATGTTGGCTCTAGTGCACTTCATACCACGCTCTCTCCCTCTCTCCCTCTCTCTCTGTCAAAGGCTTTCTCAATAAGACGTATAAATAGGCTGATGACACAACTGCGCCGTTCACAAAGACATGGAGGAGAAAGAAAAGAGGGGAGAACAGGACTCTGGCTTTAGTCATGGCCGCTTTATTCTTCTGCTTTTCAGAGGCACAGGTTAAAAGGCAGCCTTTTTTTTCTTTTCATGCCTCCCCCCCTTCTCATCCCTCTTTCTCTCCCACTCTCTCCCCCCCCTCTCGTTTTACGAAACAGGTCGGCTATTGTGGCGGCTAGCGAAAGGCTACTGTGGCATTTATCTGAGAGAAGTAGGAGGCGGGGGAGGAGAGTTGGGGGGGTAGGAAGACAAAACACACTCCCAATAAAGAGATAGAACAAG